CTAAAACTCTTTAAACAAAAATCCAACGATTCCTTTATTAGTAAAAAACATAATAAATTGAGCATATAGAATTGTCATACTCTGATCGTCTCAATTGCAAACTGGGAATTTGTGCTCTATATTTTCATGATGTTTAATCATTAATTTTATATAAAGATTTTTTGATTATGGTGACATTGTGATTTTATATAAAGTTTTAAGAAAATTAATTTGTCTGTGTCTCAACTTACACACTGACCAAATATCTTTTGTTTTGTGGCAACAATGAGCCTCATTATATTCCTTTACATATATAAGTTGATATAAAATATTGAATAGGTATTTATACTATGCCCCAATAACTGCCAATACTATTAATTATGTTCAAAATGTGAATTACCAATAAATGTAACTGGGTTAATTTCATAAATTTTATGCATTTAAAAATCATGAATTAAATCTTCTGAAGTTGTACATGAAGAATCCATGAAAGAGCTAAGTACATATGAGGAATAGAAATGTCATCAACTCTTGCTGGGGAAACACAAGCAGTCTGAGGGGCTGTCTTTATCTACTATTAGACAGTGTCAGTTACAAACATTATTTATAACTCTTAAAAGGCCTACACATGTACAGGTGCCTCTTTTACCTATTTCCATCAATGTTTTATATTTGGGTCCCAATTACATTACAATTAAGTGTTGAAAATTTTCTCTGCTTCCTGAAAACAACTATTGTTTGTATTGAAGGAATTTATTTTTTTCAATGTAATTTTGAACATTACCAGGGTTTTATTATGAGAGGAACTACACACTATACATTGAGCTTGTGTCGAATTACTGGTTGGCTATACTCTCAGTAAATGAACTTTGGAGCAGAGGTAGGTAGATGTTAAACTTTGACCTTTCTCTAGTTTGCGGCCTCTCCAAACTTTTTGTTTTCTACTTCTCAAATAGAAAATAAGCAGTTTAACCATTATTTTGATGGAGACATTCAAAATTGGTTCCTTTCTTTTATTCAAGTCAACTGTCATATCTGGGCCTCAGTTTCTTCTCCTGTAATATTAAGTAACCTCTGGAGCTGCTTCTATCAGATCCATCTCTGAGCATATTTATTAAAGTCTCACTAAATGTATCCTTAGCATTGTAGGGGATTAAGAGCCCTGGCCTTTGCCTTTAAAGAGCTAAGGGCTTGCCTTGGGGGAAGGAGCGGTGGTTTCTGTATGATTGTATGAGCCTTCAAGATTTGTTGATTGAATGAACGATCAATTGAGAAATGCAAAGCCCGAGAAAGAGGGACCACAAGATATTTCATAGCTGATGGGAACCTGTGTAAAATTCCAGCAGCATTTTTCCAAATGTAGAGTGAGAGTTGATTTATGTATACAGAGCTATACACAAGAAATCTACCCTGATTTTAGACCTGTTCCCCAGCGTAATTAGAAATATGAACATTTTGTCCTACAAAGGTGGATGGTAGTAAAAACAAACAAACAAACAAAAAAACGGTCTATAGGACACTTCTTTCAAACTCTGGGTTGCTAATACAATTTTTTTAAAGTGGGAGGAGGGAGGCAAGATTAGGGAAACTAAGTATTTTTTCTTGAAACTTTTTCTCAGTAACATAATTGGCTTCTGGTCAACTAATTCATATTAATATGGCTCTAAAAGCTGTTACCCCTGGACAAATAATTAGTGTCTGAAACCCACCCCACGGCCAGCATTGTGTCCCCACCCTCTTGAGCTCTCCATCCAGCATTAACGCCAAGGTATTGCATGGCAAGAGGCCTCTAGGATATTGTTAGAGCTTTGAGGCAGTGTTTGATCTGAGTGGTCAGTGCTCAATGTCATTGTTAAACATTCTGAATAAAAATGCTCATTTCTTCATTGTGTATATATACACATTGTGTCATGATTCTTGTGGGTGATGATTTAAAAAGTTTGAAAGCCACTGTTTTATGAGCAGTATGAGTGTAGGAAGGAACCTTCAACAAACTGGAAAGAGACCACCCTCACAGGCCTGAGGCTGAGAATTATGTTGAATTTATATTTATAGTTACCTCTACAGCAATGATACTGGCTTTTCACTTACCATGGTGATATCAACTTCTTAAATTAATTAGGTTAGGAATAGAAGTAAATTGGTTTAAAGAAAAACATTAAGTAAATTATAATATAGATGGTACATAGCTTAAATTAGGAAGGTGATATAAGAATGTAACTTTGTAGCTATCTCATCTAGCTAAACCTTCTATTGTATAGATAAAATGATGGCACCTGACGAGTTATTAATTTTAAGTAGTCATTTGCCTCAGGTCTCATGGCTCAGGCAGAGATCAGAAGCTTTGGTCAACCATGAAGAGGAGAGCTTCTTAACTACTGAAGGGTATTAGAATATACCACCCCAAAATATGCCACTTTGGCACCTTGATTATTTTGAGCTTTAAGTACTTGAAAAACAGCAAATGCAGGAGAGACTTTCTCTCCACTCCCCTTATCTAACTAAAGACAGATCCTCCAAAAAGAACTCAGTTGTCATAAATCCCTTCCCCAGGAATTTCATCAACCACAGAAGATTGACTCATCACAGGAGAGGAGAAGTCTATACCACATCCAGACAACTTTGTCACAAACTATCATAACTCCCATCATTTTGCTACAAACCCATTCATCTTTCCTAAAAAATATTTACTCTTCCCTAAGGGGCCTAATCTCTTCTCCTCTTTCTCTATTAAGATAATATTAAAGCCTGAATTCTAAGCCACCGTGGGGAGTCATCAATTTTTCCTTGGGTATCTCACATGTATACATGAGGTATACATGCATTTTATTAAATACATGTATATTTATTAAAATTATTAAAATTTTAATAAATACATTTATTAAAATTCTGCTTGCTTTTCTCTTAATATTTTATTACAGAGTGTCAGCTAAAGAGTAGAGGAAAAATTGTTTTCCTTCCCCTACACTAGGTGTCATGAATACCAGTATTACCACTTATCTATAGGGTGCAGAATATTTAGGACACTTTGTAGATCCATATTGAATGGATAAGTGTTCTTTTTTTAACCTCTGGTTCAGAGCTACAGACCTTGCCCCTCTGAAGCAGATTTTGTAAGTTAAGAAAACTACAGAGAATGCTCCAATTCATATGACTACAAAATGTCTTCTTCCTTTCTTCATCATAATAAATTGGGGGAAAAAAATAGTGTATCTGTACATGCAGGAAGCACTTTTGAGCTTTCTATATTGTACATAGAGGGGAAAGCAGGTTTTGAAAGGATCTTAGGCTCATTTTTAAGGAAGGGGTAGACAATACTATGTAATTCTTTATTCAGATTGCTTTGTCTTGCTGCATTGCTGGCTTTGTCATCAGCGAATGTTGCAATTACTTTAACAAGCAAAGGAAATGCCAATCAAGTGCAGCACCTGGGACCTCACCCGTGCAACATGTCAGGCCTCAGGCAAGAGACAAAAACGCTCAAGGCTGTGTGTGGAGACCAGGTAAAAAGGAAGTGGGTGGCTGTGAACCTGGGTGTGCAAGGGCGCCTTGTCCCCAAGGCCAATGTTTACATTAGCGATTCACTTCCACCTCTGGTACACTTAACCAGGCGCTTGTTATATATATTCCACGCAACATCCTGACTTCAGGACTTTGGAGGAAAGCTGGGGTCAGTAGACTGCTCAAAGTGTATATGACAATAAAATACTTTGTACAATCAAATGCAAATTCCACCTGCCAAGAAGCTTATGGTGACTGGTGCCGACCCAAATGGAGCTGGGCTTTCTTCACCACGAGAATCTCGTGAGGCAGATAAGTCCACCAACCACGCCGGCTATTCGGCCAAACATGATGCAACCTTAGAAGGTGTGTTACTGCTCTGCTCCAGCAGTCAGCCGGAGACAACAAATAAAATGGAAGATCGTCCTCTCTGGGAAAGCAGGCCTCAGATTTGAAGCGGGGGCTTCAGGGAGGGAGATGAGCAAAGAAAGGAAAGGCGAAGTCGCTTCTCCGAGAAGCCGGGTTCATTCAAACCCGGAGGACAGCAAACCCCGCCTCCCCATGCCGCCGCCCGCTCAATCGCTTCGCGCTCCGGGTGTGAGCTCGCCCCGCGGGGAGCGGCTTGGAGCCGAGGAGGCGGTGGCAGAGGTGGTTTGGGCAGCCCCGCGCGGCGGATAGGCCCAGGCAAATAACACCCATTCCCCCTCCTCCTCGCTCAGTTCAACTCCCACTCGGCCCGGCCACGCCCTGCCGCCACCGCCCCCTCGGGCAGCTTTCCGCTTGGCAGTACGGCCTCGGTCGGGGGCGGGAGGGAGGGCGGTGCCGCGGAGGGGCCGCCGCGGCCGCGGGAAACTACAAGGGCCGACAGTCTTTGCGGCAGTGCCCCGCCCCCTCGCTCCTACCACTCAGCGCGCGTCACCAGGGGCTCAGCCAATGAGGACCAAGCCAAGGAAAAAGGGCGCCCGGGTCCGGATGCGCCTCAGGAAAGGCATGCTCCCTGCGCGGGGGCAGCGGGCAGTTCACCCGGCGCGCCGAGCCGTCGGTGGCTCGTGCGTACCCTTGTCCACCCTTCTCACTTCTCTTGAGCGCTAGCCCTACTTTTTTCTTTAGTGGCAATTCCGAGGGATGCTGGAGCAGATTTTAGAGGGGAGGGCGCTGGGGAATGAGTAGGGGGCGGGATATCCTGAGACAACAAGTTTGGCTGTATGAAGAGCCTACTGGCAGCGCGCCTGAACTAGAACGTCGAGAGAAAGAGCGCCAGAGGAGCCGAGAGAGGAAAAGAAAAGCTGCAGAAAGAATAACCCCGAGAAAGGGGGGAGGAGAGGAGGCGGCCCCAGCGCCCCGGCCCCCGGCAGGTCGGCGGCCAATCCGCTGGGGGAAGGGGTGGAGA